TATATATTATTTATATAATAAATTTATTATTACATTATATTCTTATTGCCATGATTTTAATTTTGTTATATATATATTTTTTTATAGAACTTCTCTCTAAATTTACTAATTCATTTGCTGTGTTATAATTCTGGTTTTTAAATAGTTATTTATTTATCTTGATATATAGTTTAATAACTATGTACTCTCATTAGTTTCATACTATTTACGAGTACACCATCACAATATCTTTTTTATATTTATTTCAGTAAAAATAATAGTATTAACAAAGTAATAAGTTTTAAAATAGAAAAAAAATATGTATACAATTTATTTACAAAAATTGACGATGATTACATTCAAACTTATTATTTTAGGACGAGTGAAAATTTAAGACTTGTGGATAGATGCAAACTGGTAAGATAAAAATCTAAAACGTAGTTGTTTGAGCCGCGTAAGTTATTCATAAATTAGAATTATATATCGCGCGAATGGCAACAATATCGCAGTGTTACTGTGTATAGAGTGAGAGACAGTGTGTTGTCGGAGAAGTATACTTCCAACGATTTTCTTTTGCGGGGGAAGTAAGAGATAAAGTACAGTGTTTTATATCAATTTACAACAAATAATACTCATTTTTTCGTAAATCTAGCTTAAGATTTTGTAATCGCATTTTTTAATGCATAGAAGTAAGAATCCAGGCCTTGTTAAACCACATTAATTTAAAGTAAAAAGATAAACGAAGTAAAAATGGCACAAGATTTTTTAATCTGATTACATTAATGCAATATTTGATATAGCGCAGTGTCAGTATGATAACACAGTTCTTATAAAACTAAAATGCGTGATTATAGCTCTAGTCCCAAATAATTTTTTAAAATCGCTTTTTTGTCTCACTTATATATTATTTCTAACTATACCTAAAAATAATTCTGTACTATTCTATAGTATATCATTGTAGAGATTATATTAGATGTAGGATATGCTTAATTATTGTCAAGAGACTTGGGAAGCTTATAATGCAATTGGACAATAGTTTTATCTATCTATTTAATGAATATCAGTTTTGAAAGTTTAATGGATGAGTAATTCTTCTTAGAGCGAGTATGCTAGTATATTCGTTACAATCATTATCTGCTTTTCAGTACCGAATGTAAATTCCGATCATATAAATCAGTACCGATATCAATTGTGTCAGAGACAATTATTGACGATTTTTTAATTATTTACTATATATATATCGAGCATTAGAATGATCAATTTTCTACGTAAACGAGAAAAAATTGCAATAATGTGCCATTTGTGAAACGACAGACATAATCCAATCTGCCGTTAATAAGAAAGAGAAAAAACAGTATTACAAACAATATTATTAGTTTTTTAAAAATAATTTATTTCCCATTAAAGTTGACATTCCTTATTTAATTTATTTAATTGCCACACCAGTGCCAGATTTATCTTTGTCTCGATAATGCCAGGTGTCAATAATAGTCTCAATGTATAATATGTCATAATATAATATATTATTACTGATAATAGAGCAAATGACAGTTTCGTCGCAAATTGTGGGAGGGGGGGGGGCAGATGGTTTTTTACGATTTCATATTTCATATCTTTGCACGCACATACAAAAAGACATTATACAAATTAAGTGATAAATTCAACGCGCAAATAAATAATCTTAAGCGATTAATTTAATTTTATAGCTGATAAGCACTTAATGAACTTTCTGCAATATTTAAGCGATATTAATGGAGAAAAAATGACTGATCCTCTTTTTACAATAATCTTTCTTATCAAAATATTGAATAATAACACAATTACCAATTTATTAAGTGATAACCTTTTTATCCAAATATTCAAATCAGAACATTTCATCTCATCTATATACATGCATATGTATTTTTATAAGTTATAAAAAATAATGGTACTATGTCCTCCAAAAATAAGTTTTGTAATTGACGATAAAATACCAATTTTTTTTCTTTGTAAAAGATTGAATGTTATTATATGTGTGAATGTATGTATGTATGCATATACAGGATATCTTACAACACACTACCATTTCCTCTTAAGGACATATTCTTGAGGTAATTTTGAGACAAAAATCCTAATACGAAAATGTCGAGACTACAATAATTTTTTGAATTATAACTTTAAATGCTTATAAGTCAAAAACTATTTTACTTTTATAACCTCTATTATTATTTTTGGATTCTTTTGAACATTCTAAGATGAAAATTCTAATACGAAAATATCGAGGCTATAATAGTTTTCGAATTGTATACTATCTTTAACCATAATGCAAAAACTATTGTAGTCTTTTTTTTTGTATTAGGATTTTCGTCTCAAAATTACTTCAAGAATACGTTCTTAAGATGAAATGCGGTAGTTGTGAAATGATTACTGTTACACACACACACACACACACACACACACACACACACACACACACACACACACACACACACACACATATACACACACACACATCATACATATATACAGGGAATGGAAGTAACTCGTTACTTGTAACGAAGTTACAATTACAAATTACTTTTTGGTAACTTCACTGGTAACTGCGTTTTTTTTACTTACTTTTTTTTTAGTAACTGTAACGGTAACGTAGTTACATTTTTTTTTTTGGTAACGATAGTAAATTTTACAGTTACTTTTGTCGTTACTTTGCACATAGTTGGACACGGTTCGATTGGACACTAGCTACTCATAGTGCTTCAGACTAAAAAGCCCCTAGACACCCATCCGCTGTAATTGGTGATCATCAATCTTAAAAAAGTAATGGACAAGAAACGAAAAGTTAAGTAACGATAACTATAACGAGTTATTTAAAAAAAGCAGTAATTAATAACGGTAACTTGTTACTTTTTTCTGTTCGATAATAAGTAACTGTAACTTGTTACTTTTAAAAAGTAACTTTTCATTCCCTGTGCGCGCGCGCGTGTGTATGTGTGTATTAGGGTGATTGTTATTTTAACAATTTTCGAAATTTAATCGGGACACTCCCTAAAGTGATTCAATATCACGAAAAAAATATCAAATTTTTTGAACAATTTTAACTTCATTGGATCGGCAGTTTTTATTTTGGACTGTAATCAAAATTAAAAATGAGCTTTTAACTCATTCAATTTCGAGTAAATTTAAAAAAAAGTTTTAAAATGGGTTAAGAATTAGAGCGTCGACCGAATTTTATCCACAAAGGTGTTTTTTCCGTACCACCAGGGTTAAAATTGTTCAAAAAATCTGAAAAAATCTGATTATTTTTTTTAGATATTGAATTACTTTAGAGGGTGTCCCGATTACATTTCAAAAATTGTTAAAATAACAACTACTTTAATATATATATATTTGTGTGTGTGTGTGTGTGTGTGTAAACTAATTTTTTTTACTTTCCATATCTCGGAGCATATGAATATATTTAATCAACATAGTGCCAAAAATTCATTACTAGTATTTTTTGTATCTTGCACATTTTAGACCTGTAAGAAGGCATTCGAAAGTATTTAAGAAATTTTCTGTGTCAAAGATATTTAAGACGAAACTTGATTTGTCGCTCCCATTTATATCTCGTCCGCACTACTGATTTTATATTGCATTAAAAAAAGGATACAATAGTGTTGCATATCTTGATGTAATGTTTTTTGTTTATTCGTATATGTTATATATTGCAATTGCAATTCAGATTTGTAACCATTTTGCAATTTTCAAGCAAACTATCCGTTTACGATCAAATTATGAATAATAAAGCGATTTTTTACAGAACGATATTAGAGAGAGGTGCATAATAAAAAAAAATGACTGAACATTTCACGCCACTCAATCTCATTCTGTAAATTATCGCTGTCTAAATAATTTTATCATATAGTAATGTACCTTTATATATCAATCTTATAACGTTCATGTATTTCAGCTATAAAACCTTTTTATCAAAAATCTTAATCATATCTGATTTCCATGTATCCTCTATCTAATAAGTATAATTTATACAAGTATTATTTTTTTTTAATTATATGAATAAAAAAATTTTTGTATTAGAATCCATAGAGCTTATTATAACGATTCGGACATCGATTAGTTCAAAAAGCATGTGGAATGTTTTTATTTGAATAAGTAACTTTTTATAATTGCGTAATTTATAGAATTATATATATAAATATATATATATATGTATATATATATATATACATATATGCAATTTCATAATATTTGACAATGATAATTTTATAATTTTTAATAATTTTTTTATGTAGTATACAAAGATACTGTAAAAATAAATACGATATTACATAAATCATCTAGTGTATCCAACGCGATCCCTGGGAATCAACCTGAGCTCTGCACCGTGTTTAAGAAATACATTTCCTGAAAGCATAAATTACGATTAATATTCGTATACTTAAAACAAAGATATTGCGATATATATTTCAAGATCTACCTGCAGTTTGTTGAGGATTAATACCTATTCCATCATCTGTAATTATGGCCGACGTAGCTGGCGGCACTCTAAATTCCTCAGCAGCAAATTTTAATACAGCGGTAAATGGAGTATTTTCTGGTACACTAAGTCTGCAATTAATAAAATAATACATGTTTCTTATTTTACAAAACATTGGTAAAACATAGTGACAAGGAAAATATAGCCTTAAAATATATAAAGCAAATATATTTTTTTTATAACGTCTTAAATATCTTTTAATACAGGATTGGTAATTATTTCGTTAACAAAATTTATAAGCGATAGAGGAAGTTTTTATTCTTTTTTGCAAAAATTACATAGAACAATTATAGATTATAGGACAATACAAAGTATATAATTTATATTATAAAATGAAAAAATCTAGAAATTTAATTTAAGATATCTGCTTCAACATTACTCCATATCTCACTATCTGGTTGAGTTTTAACAGTAGACATTCTGTTGTATACTTGTTTGCGAATTACGCAGGGACCATTCAACAAAATTTTCACTATTTGGCAAAGATGTTTGTACTCAAATTTAAAATTTGAACACCACTTTCCATCTACAAAGTACATATTTCGGCCAAAGTAAAATATTGCATCAACAAAATCTATGCAAAATCGAGTACTGTCCTGAAGTAATCTTAAGAGTGATTTCTTTTCAGTATCTGCTAAAGCTACGCATATTTCAGGATCATAGTCATTTAATTTTGAAGTAAAAGTTTGTACAATCAATTCTTTAATTGTATCATCATCTGATTCAACCGTTAAGTGTACAAGTCTTGAAACATGATTATCATTTGACATCTTATTTATGCATTTCATTACTTCATCTTGATCACCATTAGCTATTGCCATTTGCCATGACATAATTAATGCCTCATCTTCCATGCCTGATAATGGTACTCCTAATTCTTCTAAAGAATCTATAATCATGTTTGTGGCGATAGAACTGCTTATCACTTGATTTAGAAAGGCATTTAATCTATCCTGTCCAAAATGTTGAGTGTACAATTTTAGATATTCATCAACGATTTCCGTAGAAATATGATTGTCCTTCAAATAATGTTCCAATAATTTATCGCAAGCTTTTTCCAGATCAGAGCACGTAATATTCTGATTTTGTAGAAATAGCTTTCTCTCTAACTTTTGATGTAAACATTTCTCAAAGGGCAATGTTCTATTTTCAGCTTGCACTTGGGCAACAGTGATTTCGATGAAGTGAGCACAATTAAAAGCTTGTGTAACATTTTCTACAGTCATTTGTTCATTAATAACTGGACTCTGCAGTAGTGCGAGAAAGGCGTCAATAGTCTTAAAGATTTCAGAGCCAACTTGCATGTTATTCTATACACACACACAACAAAGACACAATTTCTATTTCAAACAGCCACTTACACTTTATATGGCAGATTAGGATCGGACGTAAGAGTGATTCTGAATGTGACTTTAGACCTGTAACAAGTTAAATTTTACATTAATTTACATTGTATAATACCTCATGCTTAAACTAACAAAACATATGGCTTCCTCACAACCAATCTACATCCCCTGTTATTATATATACTCGTCAACTTTATATCTACATATTTTAATCTTGTAAAACTTTTCTGAACTCTGAAAGATACGTACGCCATCATTCACACGCAGAATTCTATAAAATATATACAGACAATAATAATTGCTCTAAATTGCGATCAATTTGTGACGGACTATAAAAATGCAACAGTTAAACCAGGCCAACAAAAAATGTAACCTAACCCAACCTAGCCTCTATTTAGAATCAGGGTTAGCGATCATGTAACTTTATCACGGAAGCAGTGATGGGAGATGACAAGAATTCGTCTGCTCTAGGAAACTTTGTGCACATGCGTAAAGCTGAGCAGTCTTAACTGACGTACATATTTCATGGTATTATAAGACCCCTAATAACGATATTAAGAAAGTTGTAGGGAGAAAAGGAAGGTTTTTATTAAAGATACATAGTGTATTCATGAATAATAATAAATTTTGTCTTTTATTACGTCTGCGGCCGATTTATCATATGAATATCAACATATCGTTCGAAGAAATAGCATTCGAGAAAGTCACTATAATGACGTACAGTACCTAAGAGGTTAAAAAAGAAATAATTCATTACTATAATCTTAATTTAGAAAAAAATTTAGAACGGGTTGTAAAGCGGGACAAAGTGTTAAAATTTGAGATTGTCCCTTCTAATTTGGAATGGTTAGTCACTCAGATGTACAGGACCCCCAGAAGCACTCGTATTCCGTATTGCTCCGTATGTTCCCTCATTGGATCAAACTGCCACGTCATTTTACGCATGCGCACAAAGTT